TCCACTGGCCACTATACTTGGTCCTCCTTGTTGGGTCATTGGGAAAGTCATGATGCATGTTTGCATAGAAAAACATCAAAAATCCGTCATGACCGTCCCGACAACCTAACATAGTGTTAGGAGGAATGAATACTGGTGTCTGCTGTGTGCTGAGTAAGTGAGCATGTAGTATGAGACGTGATCCAGCCTGCAAAGGGCTGAAGATCTGAGGAACATGACACCAATATTAAGAAATAACGTTGAGATAAATAATCGCAGACTATGGTACTGATAATCAACTCCTTTTTTCCCCCCTTGGGAGAGGTTTTTACTATAGGGCATGTGCGCTCACCAGAAAGAGAGAGACAGAGAGACAGAAAGTGAGAAATCACACCCCCAGGGGGATGGCCATGCTGCAATCCCTTCTCTATTCTCCTCTTGGGATCTTGGGCACACATGCACATGTGCCCCGTGTGAGTTTATGTCACTGGGCCCGGGACTTGAACTAGGGTCGAGTTCATGGGAGTCCAGAGACACAGCCATTACACCAACTGCTGGTCCCTCAACTCCTTTCAACAAGTGTGCACCCGAATATCTGTGTGAAGTGTGATAGCTGCAAGGTGTATTGAGGTGCCTGTGGGAAAGTTACCCTAATCCTAGAAGCTTAGGGAACTGGTGGCAGGAATTCTTGCTTTAAATGTGGTCAGGAGACTGGCAAACATGGACTGCTCTATAAAAATAAAGTAAATTTAAAATTTAGCATAGAGTTTTCCTATCCTGAGGTAAATCAGCAAAACCACACGTGAATAATGAGTCTGGGGTCAGGTGGTGTGTGGCGGTAATACAACTGGACTCACATGGGGGAGGTCCTGGGTTTGTGTCTCAGAACTTCCTCAGTGTGACAGGTGAGAATCCTCCTCTGATCTGGCTTTTTTTTTTTTTTGAATTATTTAATTTAATTTAATTTATTTATTTTAATTTGACCAGAGCCGGACAGAGAGAGAGAAAGTGAGAAAGCAAGCCCTCAGGTCTGGGACTCAAACCACGGTTAGCCATGTGGGAGTCCAGTGCCCTTAACCACCAAACCACCTGCTGGCCCCAATCTGGATGTTTTATAGCTTTTTTCTGACTTGCTTTCTCAGCTTCAGTCTGCACAGTATCCTCTAAACCCCCCTTCCCCTTGGCTTTTGAGGTTTTGGCTCCCTGTTTTCCTGTTCCCCTTCTGGGGGCTCCTCCTTACTGGTTCTTCTTGACCTGCCCTGCATATGGCAGAGCCCTCATGCCAGGCTCCCTCCTCTTCTCACTGTGGTGGATTTCCTGGGCCACTCTTCTACCTGTGGCTCTGGTTACTGTGTGTGTCCACCTGCCCACCTGAGGCTGAGTGAATTTACCGAAGGCTTCTTGTACTTAACGCACCCTGATACCCACATTCCTGATCTTTGTGCAGTCTTTCCCCCCTCAGGTAATGGCACTGCCATCCATCCAGCTCTCATGGTAGAGCCTCTTCCTGTGACCAGTCACCAAATCCTTGGTCCACCTGCTTACCACTGCTTTAAACGTCCTTCATGGCCACACATCCTCCTCCACACCAGTACCTTCTCTTATGGGTCTTTCACAGTTCCCTTCACATCCCCAGATACTCGTCACAGAATGCAATCAGCATGATCTTGGAGGAGAATAAAGAAGAAGGGATTGCTGAGTGGCCATCCCCCCGGGGGGTGATTTCTCACTTTCCTTCTCACCATCTCTGTCTCTCTCTCTCCAGAGAGCTCATGTGCCCTCTGGCAAAAAAACTCAAAAAAAAAAAGGAATTACCTTGGAAAATGCAGTTGTCTATACAGAAGAGGATTAAAATTTCATAATGTACAACAATTCGGATATAACTTAATTTTCCTAAAACTAGATTTAATTCCTACCTCTGAGTACTTATTTCTACTTTTTAGCATTACGTTGTTTTTAACAAATCCTGGTTAGAATCTGTTGCTTCCAAATTTCTAAGTGTTCTCTTAGTAAACGTAGTCACTTTTGGCTCTGACTCTCCCGGTTTTTCTCCCAGGGCCACTTTGGACTTGGGAGTGGAGCCGGGGCACATCTGTGGCTTCAAGGCAGTCATTGGAGAGGGGCTGTCCCCGGCTGCTCACTGGCCCTTGCTGAGGAACTCTGCTGGTCACTGGCACTGACAGTGACCAGAGGCGTCTCAACGTCCTCCTTTATTGCCGGGTCTGCGTTGCGAAGTCCACCCAGATCTTTCTACGTCTTCCTGCAACTTCAGGACTTTCTCAGGCACTTGCGTCTTCTCCATTTTATACACTGAATCACTGTGTATCATTATAGCATTCCGAGTGAATTTTCCCATCATGAAAACACGGCATGTCAGCCCAGTGAAAGACATTACCACTTTCTCTGCCACTCTCAGGGACATGGAGCGATCCAGATGTTTCTCAATTTAGCCTTAAACAAACGCTGTAGACTGATGTAACCTCTCCACATGTGCAGAGCACAAGAAGAGTCTCCTTCTAAGCCTGGAGGATTCAAGACGGTGTCTGACAATTCATGCAAGCTCAGAATTGCTTCCTGATATTCCTTGTAGGCCCATAAAAATCAATGGCAGACGAAGAATAAAAGAGCTTTCCAGTAAAATTCTGTTGCTCTCCAGGCCCCAGTCCCTGTGACGTACGCAGGTGGGCACTGAGTCACACCCCAGCAGCCTCTGCTGGCTCCCTGGGTCTCCTTGCCGGCTGTGGGAGGGTGAGGGAGGGGTGAGTTGCCTATGCAGGGGTGCCTGCTTCCCCTCCTCCCCTCATCAGTGACTCCAGGGGCCCTGCAGCCCCTGTCCCCTCTCTGCTCTGCCCTATCATGTGCCCTCTGCACACCCAGGGGCAGCAGCAGCAAGTGACAGACTTGCTGGCCTCTGGACACTGCCTTGCTTAGTTCTCTTCCCAGCAGGAGGTTCTGGGCCTGGGCCAGGCAGCAGGGGAGCAGTGGGGCTGAGTACTCAGAAACCTTTTTGTGAACAGCTTTTTTGTTTTCATTTTCTTTTTCTCTTCTTTTTATTTTTTTTAAAAGTCTTCTACCATAGGGTACATGGGAGAAGGAAAGTGACAAATTACACCCCCCACCTGGGGAGGGGGATGGCCATGCCACAATCTAATCCCTTCTCTTTGTTCTTCATTCTCCTCTAGGAATTTAGGGCATGAATACCCATGTGCCTGGCGTGATTTTCAAGATGCTGGCTCTGGGACGTGAACCACAGTCGTCCATGTGGAATCCAATGCCTTAACTACCAAGCCACCTGCTGGCCAGCTTTCTTCTTTAAAGCTTCACCACAATTCTCAACTTGAAAATAATGTAGCAAGAGAGTTGATTGACATGTTAAGATATTTTTTCTTCCTCCCATATCTGGCAAATAGCCAAGCCCATCTTTGTAATTCCTACCTCAGAGACTTTTGCAGGAAGAAATCAGAAGCTGCGTGGGGTCAGTGGCGTTTCCTGCTCATAGTAATAGCCAAACTCATGGGACCAGCAGTTAGCGTAATGGCTATGTCGCTGAACTCCCATGTAGTCGACTGCGGTTCGTGTCCCGGACCCGGCGGCTTAAACTCACGCTGGGCGCGTGTGCGTGCGTGCCCAAGATCCCGAGAGGAGTATGGAGGAGAAGGGATTGTGGCGTAGCCACACCCCCTGGGGGTGATTTCTTGCTTTCTATCTTTCTGTCTCTCTCTGTCTTCTGGCGAGTGCATGCGCCCTATAGCAAAACCTCTCCCTGGCCCCCCCCAAAAAAAAAAAATAAAAAAAAGAGCCAAACTCACTGCAGAGGTGATACCAGGGGGTGGTGAGAGAGGAGAGGGCTCTGAGAAATCAAGGGAGAAGGAAAATAGATTCCTTCATGCAGAGGTCAGCAGGGCTCAGAGGCGAGGGACTCCTGCCCTCTTAGTGGCGGCTGCTAGGGGCAGCAATCAGGCTGCAGACAGGAGGGCCGCCCGGAGCACGTGTAGATAAGCCGAGACTCCAGATGAGCCAGTGCTGGTGCCTCCTGCAGGGGACGGGAGAGGCAGACTCTGGACCTGGAGGAGTTGGCGAGGACAACTAGACTGATGAATGTCCCAGAGGTGACTTTGAGGGCGAATGACTAGTGACCGTAGGCTCTACTTGCCCTTTTGGTGATAGCTGAGACCTGGGCTTTTGCACGGCTGTGGGGAGGGGCGGTCTGAGAATCACTGCGAATGAATGCTGTTCTGTTTAATGTAACGAGGGGCAGAGTGTCACTCAGGTTGAGTAGAAGAAAATGTAATCATGCTTTTTTTTTTTTTTTTTTGAGAGAGAGAGAGAGAGAGATTTTTGCTTTAGGGTGTGGATGTATGCCAGAGACAGAGAGACATGGAGAGACAGAAAACAAGAGATCACCCCCAGGGTGGATGGCCACACACAATCCCTTATCCTCCAGTCACCTCTTGGGATTTTGGGCATGCATGCACACAAGTCCAGCATGAGTTTTCAGCAGCTGGGTTTGGGATTTGAACCGCAGTTGACTACATGGGAATCCAGCAACATAACCATTATGCTATCTGCTTGTCCCTTCGAATCATATTTTTTACATCTGCGTATGTTCTATGAATGAGGATTTGCACCATCCAAGCTCTTTACTCAAGGCTGTAGACGCTGATAGAGAAATATGTCACCTGCTGACGGCCTCTTACCCAACCTGCACCTTGGCGCCCTCTCAGCACCCAACCTTCATACTCTCTTCTGATGTCGCGTGCCAAGTACAAGTTACCGTAATCACAATGGCGATAAAGAAGGGAAGACGAGGGTGATGAGTTCAGAAAAGATAGGAGATGAGTAGAACATCCTGGGAAAATGAGTATCTGCTCGTAAGAAATGGAATAAAATGCAGGTTCTCCCCCACACAGAACAGAGTCCCCTACAGGCTGCCACAGAATAGAGGTAGGGAATGAACAACATGGGGTAAAGGACCTGGCATTTCCTTCCCTCCAGGATCTTCTAACTCTACAGAGTTTTACCTGAGAGGTGGCGCTGAGAAGAGACCCGTCTGTTAATTGACTTATGGGGATAGACAGCCAGGCAAAGTGGCTTCAGCTGCTGTGACAAAATCATTTCATTCAATTTTTTCTGCAGAATGAAATATTCTTCAGATAACCTTGATATCTAAAAAGAAGGTCATATGTCGGATCAATCAAGAACTTGGAGAGTGCTTCGGGCGGGATCTGATAAACTCCTTAGCAACAGCCCCAGGGACTCAAGTTCTCCAAGATCCATGGATGCTCATACCAAGGTCCGATCAAGTCCTACTCGACATAAACGGCCCCTTGTGTGACTTGTCCCTCTCACATTTTTCATTAAAAGCTGTCAAATACAGCACGCTGACACAGTGTTCGACCTGCTCAGTGCTTTCCTGGGGCTCCTGAGATCTGACTTCTGGCCTTTTCCTTCTGCGGTGGTTGCCTCTCTGCTTCTGTCAGGAGGAACTCTGCTGCTTTTGATTGTGTAAAACCTAACGTCACTACCTCCAAGCACACAAAATGCACAGGAAGGGGCTAGGCAAATGACTCGATGGCAGTTCTCCACTGACAGCCAGAAGTGAGCGATGTCTGAGCCTCACGGCTCACAAAGGCCGGACCCAGGGCTGTTACTGGGCTTCCTCATGGGCTCAGCTCCCAGCAGAGGCAACAAGCAGAGTTTAGGGACCTAAGGGCAACCCTTCTTTGAACAACCCATTATGATATCACTCCTATTATTTCAGACACTACTGATAATCCTGGAAATTCGTGTACTTTAAAGGTCATCTAGTTAAAAACCTTCACGTCACCAGGAGAAATAAAAATGCTGACATGGAGTGATTTTCTTAAGATCAAATACCTAGAAAGAGAGAGCAGGAACTGGAACACACAGGGGCTGGATCCTGTGATCTCTCCACGGTGCTAATTTATCCGGGCTGCATGTATACCCCAGAGAAGCCCTGGACATGCTGCTTCCTCAGCTTCCCACCAGAAATAGCGGAAATGAGCCGACTGCTGGTACGGACATCCTTCATGAGAGAGTTTTATATCTCATTGTCCAAAATCACCCATTGTCAGGTTGTAATATGAAGGCTTTCATCTTCATCAAATATGAGGACATTTCAAAAAGTTTATTGAAAAATGGAATTAAAGTACAAGCTAATTTTGGTGTGAAGAAAATTGAAACCCACGTATAGTTTTTTCATAATACACATTTTCCATGAACTTACTGATGACCCCTCATACAAGCCTCTGTCTGGCTAATCCAAATTTTGGTACCAAATAATGTTTTTCAACTAAAATTGATGGCAGGGAGAAAACATATATTCTACGGGATTTAGAAAACTTAAGTATTTTTTTTAAGCTATACCAAATGATCTTACAGATAGATGAAACTCTGCACTATCAAATCCCAGCATTTTAGTAAACCACACAAAGCAATGTCTAGTATGCTAACGACATAAGATTTATGTCCTATTTTTCACTATTTTTATCATGGCCAATTTGTTTAAATGTTCATGGTTATGCAAATAGCACAATTCTTGAGACATTTTCTTAAAAAGGTTTGTGGTCTCACAAACATGGATGAAATAATACACTGGTTATTATTTAACTATCTGTTTAATGCAGTTACTAAATAAATCCCAGAAATACACTAGTAAATAACTTTATGTACATACCTGTTTTGAAAAAATTGCCAAATCACGTGCTTCTTTTTCTGAAATTGCTTTTGAGTCTTTGTCATCCTTCATATCGATATTAAAGGTTTCCTCGTGTTTTGTGGGACAGGAATACAAATTCTGAGTGTCTCTTGCCACTTCTGTAGGTCTAGCAACCATCTTCTGAGCCTTGAAGGGAGGAGACAGTCTGTCCTTTCTTAACTGTTGTCTTGTCCTGTAACCCCGGTACTTGCTCTGAATGAACACTGCGGCTTTCGCAGCTTCTTCCTGGGCCTCCACCCTGGGTTCATCTTGCTGTTCTTTGACTGTCTCATGCCTCACATGGCTTCTCCCTTGGCTGTGTATTGGGGCATTCTGGGTAACTACAGATATCTTTTTTTCTTTTTCTTTGCTATTGGCATTTTGATAAGTTGACCTCTGGCTAAGACTAGGTTCCAAAGATTTTTTATAAGAATTCTCATTCTCAGCTGACCAAAGCCCTGGGGAGAGGGGTCTTTCTGATAGGCCTTTCCTTTCTAGGTACGCTGCTTTTGACTCCTCAAAATTCCTTTCCTCTGTGTATCTCTGATAGTAAGTCTGAATCCCAGGGTCCTCTTTCTCTGCTTTCCTTGTCTTACTGCTCTCTTCTAGGTCTTTGATAGACGTCCGTTTGGGGTTCACTTCCGACCAAGGGTCCCCTATGAGATACAGTTCTTGCCTGGTCTCTTCCTCACACACATTATTCATTTTTTTCTGAGTTGCACACCCTCTGTTGTTAGTCTCAATGGCATTAGTGGCTTGCTCTTCTGCTTTGAAAGTGGAAGTCTTCACTACGGATAAACTGCCTTTATTATTTGGGGCTCGGATGACTGTCCCATTAGTACAGATAGCATTTTCTGTTGGTTTCTTCACAAAAGACTCCCTGTGTAAAACATATTAGATGACATAAAGCTAGAGATTATTACTTTTTGGGCACATGCTACATAACATTGGGAGAAAAGCAAAAAAAGAACAAAGAAAACTCAAAGATGTCAAGTCACATCGGTCAAGTGCTGCCCAACTATCCTCCCTAGTGACAATGGGGATGGCTATTCAAGTAATGAGTGAACCAGTTTTCATTAAAGGGTGTATCAAAATTCTAGGAATTTAACCTCCTTGCAATGTAATACATCCCTTTTTAAATAAAAAAAAAACCCAAATCTTTATTTGTATGCACTTAGAATATTTTAAATAGTTCTCAGTATTATAAAGTTGTATGAGTTGTAAGTAATCTTGCCAAAGTTAAAAGGGTTAGTTGTAAGAAAATGTACATGTGACTGATTTATCATTGATGCCTACTGAAGTAAAGGAGAGAAAAAGTTGGGAATATATCCTTTTCAAAACAGAATAGTTACAGTGATGAGATGCTGTGGAAAATATACCTCATTCTGAAGCCAGTGAGCAGGTATGTTCACTAGGCTGACACCATATGCTTTCATAATGCTAAGTTTATTGATCGTAGCAAATATCCTGCAAAGGAATTTTTCGAAGGAAAAGCAATGTCCTTGCCACAGTTCATAATCACGTAATAATATGCTGGCCAAAACTTCACAGTTGTTACTTTGTCAATATCCTTCCAAAATGATTTTCCCTTAACTTGAAGATAAGGTCTTCTTTATACATTTATTTATTTATTTATTTCAGATAAGGGCAGAGTCCTCATAAGAGCAACACAGCCATGAAAAGGGTGTTCAGGTGACATCAAAACCTTATAACCTGACACTTTGAGATTTTGGCATTTCTTACTGCTATTTAGGGGGCCTTTGTCCCAAACTTTTCACCTTGGCCCAGGAACCTATGTGTGAATTTTAGTTTTTTGCAATCTATTTGTAAAGAAGGACTCTTCTTTGAATCAAACCTGGAAAAAACTACTTCGACTCCATTTTCCTGATTCCATTAAAAAAAAAAATTTTCATTACAATTTAATGACCACTTGCAAGGTCTACAATAGTATCCCCAGGTTCCCCATGGGGGCTGCTGTCTTCCTTTCTTTCTCTTTCTATGAGTACATATGGCCTCTGGCAAAGTAAAAAAACTATTTCTGAAATCCATGAGTGCTTTTATTTTTCATAATTTGCATTTTCCATAAGCTTTCTAAAGATCGTCGTATAAGAGATATAATACAATCCTGCCAGGATCAGTCAGAAAACTAGGCAGGAAACCAAGAATTCCCATAATTTTTATGAGTGGCTGTGCTAATATTTCAAATATCTCCATAATGCCCCCCCCCAAGAGAATATTCCCGTGTAATCAAAATGTAACCATTGAAAGACGATAAGCAAGCTGCCCCCCCATTAATAACATGTCCCCAAACCCACTTAGAAGTTAGTTTTGATACTTTCAGTGCATTTTGCCAGGTCGTACCTACTGCTGAGGAGCTCTAGCCCATCCCATGTCAGTTGTACACCTGGATTCACGCTAGGACACTCCACCCTGTAGCAGGGGCTAGCACAGCACTCAGAGGACCTAAGGACCACATGCAGTGATGCTTTTGAGGGCTATCCTTTCAGAGTTTCCGATATTTCTTACAGAGGCGTCTAGGACTGAACCCTTCTTTAGCTCTCAGCCATGGTCTCCTAGGTTACGTGTCTGGGGCTCTACCAGTGAAGGGTAAAGTGAAAATAGTAGTAGAAAGCTGGGGGAGAGGAAAGTTAGAGGTGGAGGGCTGAGAGCTCCAGGCCACTGCTCTCTGGAAGGACGTGTGTGACAGGCCCTCCTGTCTCGGCCTTCTTCAACCTTCCTCTCTCTTTCCGCCGAGCTTCCCTTGACTCTGCTTGAACTTCTTTTATATCTGACTTTGTGGTCCACCTTCTATGGCAGCCCAATAAATGTCAGATTGTGCACTCTAGACCTAGATAGGGACAGTGTCTTATTCCCACGCATGTCCCCTGAAGCAGATCCTGAATGTAGCAGATGCTCAATAAATGCCTGCTACATTGACAGCTAATTCCTGGTGCCCGCAGAAGAAAGGTGGTAACAAATTCGTATCTCATTAAACTTCAGACTTCCTAATTAAATGTAATATCTGCATGTAGAAAGTTAAATTCCACAGATAGTAATTTCTAAAAGTAGTAACATTCGTCCATCTTTCTTCCGTTTGTAACCCATTGACATTTCTTTCAGAAGACATCCACCCTCTGCTCCAGAGGCAGGCATGTGGTCTTTTCAAACTTTGCCAAGCTGTGTGAAACTAGTAACAAACAGATCAAATCATCTGGATCCTCAGGAAAGGACAAAGACCATGTATGTAGGTCTCTCAATCCACAAAAAACTGAAAAGACCAAGCGCCTCTATATTTCAGAAAAACATCCATGTTTCCCAAACAAGGAAATGAGGTTAGCCTGGGTGACATGGAGAGTGTGGATGAAGATGCAGGAAAGAGAAGGCAGAGGAGCCATCTCAGACCAGCTGTTAGGCCTCTGCTGACACAGGGAACAGCGGTGGTGGGTAGAGAATGAGGAGTGGGTGTGTGGAGACAGAAGGACATCATCTCTTCGATGCCAGCTCTGATGCTAAATCTGAGGTTGGGACTGGACTGATCTTTTCTCCCTGGAGAACCACTTACGCATCTTTCTATCAATTAAAGTTGCATCACTCAGGCAAAATCTAGATATCTTTCCCTTTCCCTAATCCCTACTGACCAAGGCAGGTTCCCTCTTCTTTGCCCTACTGCACTTTTTGTATATATCTAATATCTTACAGCAGAGTTAGTTCGTTTTACTAGAATCACATACGGATTGGCCATATTTCTTTCCCATGGTGCTGTGAGCAATCTGAGGAAAAAGATTTTGTTTCATTTATCCATGTGGTCTCCACATCCGAGCATAAAGTCTGCTGAATAAATGAATAAAGTCTGCTGAATAAATGAGTGTATCTGCTAATATACACTTAGAAATATATGAGGTTATTGGAAAAGTCATGATCCATTTTTGCATAGAAACAATACGTCATTATTGTGACAACCCACTAGATATGGAGGATCAGGAGGAGAAAGGGAAGCTTGACTTATGGGCCAACTGTATATTAGCTATCAAGGCCATGAGAATGAATGAGAGGGATATTATTTACATATGGAGGAGGATTTCAATGTGGAGAAAGGAAGTATTCAGAAAGTACATTCAGAATTAGTAGCAGAATTGTAGAGAGCAGTCTGGTAGGAGCCAAAGAAGAAAAACCTGGAGAAGGAAGGGGTAGTAATTGGTTGAGATGCCAACAAATCTCCAAATAGGGTGAAGAACACAAAAGTGGTCCCTGGGTGCTTACTGACATTTATGTGTCCGTATCAGCACCCTGGTTAGGAAAAGAAAGATCGTCTGTTACAACAGTATAAGAAGGCTTGTCATTATACCTTTTATTTTTAAAGTTTTTCTTGTAATCAAATTCCTGATCATGAGTCTGAATGGTTGTTCCTGCTGTGTTTTTCATGTTAACAATTTCTTTCCTTTGTTTTCTGACTAGATGTCCTCTTGCAGCTGAAATATAGAAGACCCAGAGTACTGTTAATCATAAATAAAAGGACTTACTTAATTGAGTAGAAACAAGTGGTTTTGGCTATCAATGCCAAAGAGGAAAATAAAATGTAAAATGTCAAACAGATATCTGTTGAAAAAACATGGGGTCCATTAATAAGCCTTCTGGGTGGCAAACTGTAGCAACACATTGGTTAAAGTATCTTTCATATTAAGGAGAATAGTAAAATGAAGCTATTATAAATGATATTGATAAGCAAAGTTGATGACAAATATACGCATTTGCTTAAACCGTTTAAATTATTATTCCCCTTTTATTTTTTGCCATATTCAGTTTTTATAAGAGAAAAGTGTTATCATCTAAGTTTATTTTTGTATGTTTTGGCTAATTTTCTTGGGGCCAGTAAATACTTACTTATTTACTTTAGAAAGATAACCCAGAGGAAATATATAATCTGTAACATTCCCCATGTCAGGGTATGTCTGACTTAACACAGTCCCATAATTAAACACATGGATATACATATTCAGAAAAACACCATGTTTTGAGTACATGGAATGAATAAAGGCCTGTAAATAGCCTCACTTCAGGTTAGGTTATGTTTCACTACCAACTGACTTCTGAAAGACCTTTTTATTTCCCCCAGAGCTTTATGAAATTTGAAATTGTGCATAAAGGATTAGATCTCAAATGCAGGGATTGCATTTTGACGTCTTAGTAAGAAGTTAAGGGCTTAAAATTCCAGAAGAGATGATCGTGATCCCTTACTGATTGACAGAACTAGGACTGGGTCGTGAATCTCTCAAATGTGAGTCAGCCGCTCTGCCCACCTCGTTCTTGCTCTTTACAATGCAGGCTGCAAACCATTAGTGAGTCATAAAATCGACTAAGTGGGGCCAAACCTAGCATCTAAAATGAAATGGAATAGACCAGAACAGAAAATATGAGTGCACTGCTTTTAGTCTATATGTCTATCAGGTTATAAAGTAAAATACATCTTTTTATTACACATGTTCAGTCAAAAAAATTGGAAAGACACTGTACTAAGCCATGCTAGGTTCTATTTCAATTTTGTTTCTTATGGAAAAATAGAAAGCAAAATCCAAAGCCTAGCAATACATTTCAGTATATAAATTTGCGAAGTAAAGTATGGTTATAAATATTATTTCCTTACAGTAAATAGAAAAAGAAGATGCCCTTTAACAAAATACAATCTGATTAAGTTGTCAAAAATTATAACGAGTGTAACCTTTGGGATAAAGTAGGAATAACCTAATTGTCCAATGAGTTATAATAATATGATTCTTGAGATCTATAATAAATCAATCACTCGCTGTAGCTCACATAATAGGTCAACTGTGTTTCATTAATCTTTGACAGAAAATTTAAAAATTAAATTATTTTGTTTAAAACAAGACATTTACTCAAATATTAAAAGTGTTAATCACTAAAACATTCTGATTTAGATTTAGTATATGAAAGAATCAAGGCAACAGTGTGGAATTAAACACAAAAGCTACACAAAAGTTGGAGACTTGTATATAAGGACCATTAAGACTTGATTCTATGCTCCCATCTCCATATAACATCAGGCTCGGTAACACTGAGTGCTTACCTGACTGTATTATTATAGCGCTTTCTTTCCTTTTCTCCTGCATTTTTTGGTATCTTCTTGAACCCAAGAATGCTCTGACATAGGCTTGAATCAAAATAAGCTTGTCAATGGCTTCCTTTCGCATAAGATTTAACTGTTCCACGTGATAATATTTAAGGAACACCTTAAAAGAATTAAAAAAGAAATACAAATAAAACCGAGGCACACAGATTGTGAAGCAGTCGTGGGTAATGGTTAGAAAAAAAATGAGTTCTTAATCTTAGGTTTCAGAAATCATTCTTCTGCTTCTTTGGCCTGGAGGTTGATTATGACAGTATTTTTCATGCTTGAAGAGAATTTTTCTTTGAGAAGGAATGTGGAAGTTGGAGACCATACTGTTGATCTACGACAGGTAACTCTAGGTATCATTGGTTGGGCCAGTAAAAGTGGAGGATGTCAAGCTCTTTTAGCAAAGTGCTAGCATCCTATATCCTGAGAGAAGCGATTTTTTAACGCTTTTAATCTTTTTAAGGCAACTGTATTTTCTAAATTAAAAGATTTTACAAATCTATTTGTGAGATAAACAACAATTATATTGGGTCATGATGTATTTTTTTCTTTTTTTTTTTTTGGAGAGTTTTTTTTTTTTTTTTTTTTTTTTTTTTTTTAGGGGGTGGGGGTCCCCGAGGGGGATGGCAACGCCACAATCCCTTCTCCGTTCTCCTCTCGGGATCTTGGGCACAAACGCACATGCGCCTGGCGTAAGTTTAAGCCACTGGGTCCAGGACATGAACCGTGGTTGACTACATGGGAGTCTAGCGGCATAGCTATTACGCTAACTGCTGGTCCCATGATGTAATTTTTTCTACCCAAAAATGCATCATGACTATTCGGAGGACCCTCTAGTTATACTAATTCATTCATCAAATGTTCATAGAGGTCTATTAGGTTACTGGGAAAGTCAAGATGTGTTTTTCTATGCAAATGTGTCATGACTTTCCCACACCCAACATTACATGTACTTATAGGCTGGAGATGAAGAGGAGTAAGGCCAGGGACTGTGCTTCAGGGGTTTACAGTGTGGTCAGGGAGGGACTAAGGCAGAGAGAGGGAGCCCAGGCAGAATTAACTTACAACACTGTCACTAGACCCAAAGGCCACCTTGAAGAAAGGAGGATTGGGACCGGCAGATGGTGTAGTGGTTGTGTGGACTCATGGCTAACTGCAGCTCGAGTCCTGGACCTGGCAGCTTAAAACTCATGCTGGGTGCATGTGTGTGCAGGTCCAAAGTCCAGTGAAGAGGATGGAGGAGAAGGGATTGCGGCATGGCCATCCTCCATGGGTGATTTCTCACTTTCTGTCTCTCTGGTGAGTGCACATATCCTACAGCAAAAATCTCTCTCCAAAAAAAAAAAAGGAGGGAGGACGAACTCTGGGTCATTCTAAAATCATCATGAATTGGAATAAGGGATGAGCCTGACAGCCTGGAGTGTTGTCAGCTAAGAGCTTTCAGCCTCCCTTCCCTTCTCCCAAGGAAATAAAAGGTTTTTTTTTTTTTTTTTTTCCTCCCTCTTAATGGCTAAATTTGCTAATAAAAGTCACCTCAAAGAGTAAATTGGATCCATTAAGAAAGTCATTTAAATTCACATTTTATGGCTGAGTTATGAGACCAGGTAATCCTGACTGCATTCTCTCAGTGGTCCCTTTCTTAAAAGCTCAACATCATAGGCAAACAGTTCAGCATGTAGTTTTTGACTGAATTCAATTTTAATTTCTGCAGGACTCTAGCTGTTAATATCTTTAGTCCATTCTGCTGTTGACAATTCATTTAAAATTCAATCTGTTTAAAAAGGTCATCATTTTTTTTTCATAGGATTAGAAATGTTCCTATATTAAATACTTTTATCCATGTTAATGAGTTGGAAAAGGTGAAGTGGAAAAATACAAATAGCTTTAAAATGCTACTTAAATATCACACAGAACTGGAACTGCAAAGGGCCTTTTCATAAGTTAAAACTCCATTTGAAGTTGGGCCTGTGTTTCAAATCATAAATCATGAGATTTCAGCCCGATGAAATTCAACTTTGTGAGCAGCTGAAAGAAAATGATATAAATAAAATAGACATCTTTTTACTATCCAGAACTTCTCCTTACTAAATACTAAAGTAAATATGGATTACCGACTATGTAGGGCATTCAGTCTAAGACAGGATTTTTAAAAATCTCTTAAATGGTTACAGGACCAACTCTGCATTTGAACATTATGAACATTCTCTCTCGCACCTCCCATCCCGAGGCACACCTCGTATAAATGGTGTAGGTTTGGGAGTTTGTTTTAGTTGGCTGTGGTGGTATGAGTGGTAGCAGTTCTTCTTGAGTGGTCGACCTATGAGTATGTCTTTGCTATTCCCCACCATCCCCCAGTGATATATTTGGTGCGCTCCTGAGATACATTTCCTGTGCATGGCACGCTGTTCAGCTCTTTGTCTCCATCTTTTAACACTGTGAGGAGACTGGAGATCCTTTTTCCAAATGACCACCTTTCTTACTTCTATATTCAAGATTGATTATTATTTTCTATTTTATTCTCCAAGGAATTAAATGAGCTAAGACTTCATAGGTTCTGAAAGCTAATATATAAATACCAAACCAATGTGCAAACACATATGATGAATCTAGTAAAAACTGTGAATATTTTACTCCAGATAAATTTCAAGTTTGTGATAAAGGGAGATTTGTGAATTTGGAAAACAAAAAGTAAAACAATCCTATATAGAGTATTATAATTCTTTAGGTTTTTTTTTTTTTTTTACTATACTTGGTGATGATAAAACAGAGAAAATATATCAGTCTTTCTTTTTAAGAGATTTTTTTTTTTTGAGAGGTTTTTGCTATAGGGTACGTGTGCTCACCAAACAGACAGAGAGAGACATAGAGACAGAAAGCGAGAAATCTCCCCCCAGAGGGGATGGTCACGCCGCAATCCCTTCTCCTCCACTCTCCTCTTGGGATCTTGGGCACGCACCCACACGCGCCTGGTTTGAGTTTTAAGCCACTGGGTCTGGGACGCGAACCACAGTTGACTATGTGGGAATCCAGTGACATAGCCATTACGCTAACTGCTGGTTCCCAAGATGGGAACTTTTATGGATTTATAAATTCAGTTCCCTTACTTTAGCTAGAACTTTTGTAATGTATTATTTTTCAATCATTGTAAAGTGTCCCAATCTATTTGTTCATCTTTTTAATGAAAATTACATGAAAACATTACTTTTGTTTTTCCAAGAGCCCAGTTATCAAGACCAGCTTTTTCCAAGATGGCAGCACAGGTGTCAGGGCTCACTGGGGGCTCTTCGCTTGACTTATAGCAGAGAACATAGTACCTAAAAATGGGAAAAAGAGCTGGTTAGGACCGTACAAATTTCCAACATCTCAGTAGCCTGGAGGTCGCTCGACAGCTTTGGGCAGAAGGGAAGAGACTCCCAGACTAAATCCCACGCAATCCTGTAGGTCTCTGGACAATTCTGGTTCAGACCAAATTCCAGACTGACACAGACCGGACCAGTTATTTGTGAAAGTCTGAGCTTGTTTCTTCACTTTCGTGATCGATTTTCAACACTTAACACAGAAATTCCCAACAAAAATTCTTCTGCTAAATAAGAAAAAAAAAAAATAATTTTTTAAAAGCAGCATTTTCCTGGGCACTGAAAACAGGATTGTGGTGGCAGGAAGCAGAGTGAAAACTTAAAATTTTTTCACTTTCACGAAAACACTGGAAGCTGATTTTTTTTTGAGAGAGAGATTTTTGCTATACGGTATATGTGCTTACCAGAAAGACAGAGACAGACAGGGAGAAATCACCCTCTAGGAATCATGGCCACATTGCCATCCTTTCTCTTCCATTCTCCCTTTAGGAGTTTGGGCCTGCATGCACACGAGTGTGGTGTGATTTTCAAGCCACCAGGTCCTGGACTCAAACCACAGTTGGCCATTTGGGAATCCAGCACCTTTACTACGTCTCCTGCTTTTTCCTGGAAGCTGATTTTAAAATTAGGTGAAAGAGTTTAATTCTATCCAGCCTTCTCATCGTAGTGTACAGGTCTTCCATCTCTATTAGTTCAGTCTTTCAATTTTTGAGGTGAGAAAGAGAATCAATTAATGGAGAAAAGCAGTAATAGAGGCCCTGAGGTCACAAGCTGACCCATAATCAAAGAGCAGAAGCCAATTTACGATCATCAACAATCTTATACAAAAGAGCAGATTTCTAGAGCTTTTGACACTCCCTTATTTTTTATTTATTTTCCTTGTGCAAAAGTAACCTGAAAATCCAGTGGAAACACAGCAGCATGTTTTGGTAGGTTTTGAATTTCAGAAGAGAGGCCACGTTGTGCAGAAGATCGAGAAGAACATGCCGTGAGGCTGGAAACCGAGTTTTTTTTTTTTTTTTGAGAGGTTTTTGCTATAGGGCGCATGTGCTATAGTAAAGAGACAGAGAGAGACAGAGAAACAGAAAGCGAGAAATCACCCCCCAGGGGTGTGGCCACGCAGCAATCCTTTCTCTTCCATTCTCCTCTCGGGATCTTGGACTCGCACGCACACGCGCCTGGCGTGAGTTTTAAGCCACTGGGTCCGGGACACGAACCGCAGTCGACTATGTGGGAGTCCAGTGACATAGCCATTATGATAACAGCTGGTCCCGGAAACCGAGTTTTAATCTTTTCTCCTTAGCTGTGGAAATTGCCCACATCAGGGAATTTCTTTTTATTTGCTTGTTTTTAAAGTTTATTTATTAATTTATTTCTAGAGGGAGACAGCGATACAGAGAGACAGAAGGAAGAGGAGAAGACAACCAACATGGGGCATGGTTATGCTTTAATCTCTTTTCCCCTCCTTTTGGGACTTCAGGCATTCAGGCACATGTATTTCTCAAGGTGCTAGGTCCGGGACTTGAACCAAGCAGTTGACCTGTGGGACCCAGCTGCCTTAACCACTGGGTCATGGAGCTGGCCCTGCTATGGAACTTCTTTAATTGGCAATTTCCACATCTAAAAATAGGCCTGGAGATCAAACCTCTATAAATATTCTCTTTGAGCTCCGCTAAGCTTCACATCATGAAATCTGCAGATGAATCAACTTTTCTGTTAGACTCTTTGAAAACTCTTGGTCTAGAATGAGGCAACGATCACACATTTCCCATGTAGATTACTTCATGGAGTGGCCAGTAGTCTTCCCGCTTCAGGACCACCCACTTCAGGACCTAATTTGCTCTTGGTGTATCATGATGCAGTAGCTACTCTGCCCTTTCAGCCCCTCAACCTCTCCGGGCTCCACTTCCTTCAGATGCAGCTAGGGTCTCCCGATTCATCACAGCAGCCACTTCTTTCCATTCTTCCAGTCATCACCTTAAACCCACCCCTCACCACTTCTCCCCTAGACTTTTACAATTCCTCCCAGATGACTCCATCTAGCCATCTATCCTTAGTCCCTGACAGCCAACTTCCAAGGCTCTGTTGGGATGATTTTTCTAAAATGGAAATGTGAACCTATTCTTTGCTGACTTAAAAGTCTCCAGGAATTTCCAAAATTTTAAGCTGGCATGGCAAAACTCAGAGCCATGTAAAGGCTGGGCAGGTAACATGACCGTGTGAGCCAGGGACCAGTGTGAGTGCAGGAAGTGGAAAGGTCACACCTGCCAGAAAGCATGCATTTAAAACTGGCAGTCGCAAGTGGGGACTAGCATAGAAGCCCCTCCTGTTTGGTATCTCTGCCTGCCTTTCCAGCCCCACCTTTTGCTATTTTCTGTGGCACACTGAGCCCCCCAATCTTAAAAATTATTTAAAGTTATGCCAGAGGGCCCAGCCTGGTGGCACCCCTGGCATCCAACAGAACTGAGCTGCTGGATCCCTGGTAAGCCTGAAAATGTGCTGGGTACAAGCAGACGACCCAAGATCCTGAAGAGCTGGAGACTGAGGAAAGGGGGTTGAGACAGGATGAGACCCTGTGGAGGGTGCTTCTCTCTCGTGTGTAAGCATGGGCTTCTCTATGACAGATCAATAAACTTAACCAAACAGAAGTCATACCAGAGCGCCATGTTTGTTCATGCGTCTATGCCTGCAGGCCCATCAGTCCCAGTCCTTGTTTCCTTAAAGGAAGACCTACTCTTTCACTCTTCTAGAAGCTCTCTTTAACATATAGTTAGTTCACAGAGTAACTGGATTAAACGACATTCCCGTTCTTGTGTAAAGCGCACTGACGGGTCCACTGTACACCCAGAGCTCATGGCTAAAAACCCTCTCTAGTGTGCCCATGTGCACCTGCTCCCACCAGGTGAGCTGTGTGTGTGCCCAAACCTGTCTATTCAGGTGTCCTTACTGTGATGCTGTTCAAATAAATACCAGGTTGAAATCTGAGCAAGGGAAACCAGAGAGTTGTTTCTGCAAAACTGCATGAAATGCCCAGTAAGACTTTATAAAGTCAGAAATCACAGTTCGTTGTGCGGCCACCAAATGACCTTTGTTTTGTTCTTAATACTAATTTACACACTCTGAAAAAGGCTGCAGTGTCATAAATGAAGACTTTCTCAAACACTAGATTTTATCTGAAAACTGTAATAGACTTCACTTTTGGAAAGTTAAAAAAGTATTTAATTTTATTTGTTGCTATCATTATTATTGTTATTTGATCAGAGGGAGACAGAGAAAGAAAGAGAGAGAGAGAGAAAGGGAAAGTGAGAAAGCAAGCTGACAGGTCTGGGACTCGAACTGTGGTTAGTCATGTGGAAGTTCAGTGCCTCGGCCACCATGCCACCTGCTGTTCCCTGCTCTTGAAATCTCTTTAAGTTTAATGTCTAATTGAAATCATAGGATTGATAAATATTAGAAACATGGGCACTTAAAATATTAAATATATAATATTGAATCTGTACATTACCATTAATGTATTACTTAATAAAATGTATTTCCTATACAGCTAATTCATTTTACATTAATCTCAAGTATAAAGAACTCCTTACACTTAATTGATTCTTTTTTTTTTTTCTTAGAGAGATTTTGCTGTAGGGCAGGTGTGCTTGGTGGAGAGACAGAGAAACAGAGAGACAGAAAGTGAGAAGTCACCCCCAGGGGGGTTGGCCATGCCACAATCCCTTCCCCTCCATTCTCCTCTCGGGATTTAGGCATGCATGCACATGCACATGTGTCTGGTGGTTTTTTTTTTTTTTTGAGAGGTTTTTGCTACAGAGTGCATGTGCTCGCCAGAAAGACAGAGAGAGACAGAAAGAAAGAAAGTGAGAAATCACTCCCCAGGGGGGATGGCCAGGCCACAATCCCTTCTCCTCCATTCTCCTCTTGGGATCTTGGGCATGTACAAGTGCCTGGCATGAGTTTAAGCCACCGGGTCTGGAACTCGAACCATGGTGGACTACATGGGAGTCCAGCAACATAGCCATTGCACCAACTGCTGGTCTGCGGGCATGAGTGTTAAGCTACTGGGTCTGGGACTGGAACCGCAGTCGACTACGTGGGAGTCCAGCGATGCAACCATTATGCCATCTGCTGCTCCTCTAATTGATTCTTCTTTCCAAAACTAAATTAAGTGTAATGTTTAAATGGACAAACTCAGTTGATTTGGGTTTACTTTTAGAGACAATATTCCATTTGATCATTATAACAGTCCTATCAGGTAGTCATGCCAGGTTTAGTGGGTGAGGAAGATGAGGTTTCTGCTAGGTCAGGGTTTCTCAACCTCAGGACAGTTGAGGTGAACATCTAGAGGTGAACAGTTCCTTGTTGGAGGTTCTGTACATTATAGAACGGAGGTTCAGCAGCAACCCTGGCCTCTATGCCTCCTGGATAAAAGTGGCAAACCCCCTTTGGTGTGACTATAAAAAATGTCCCCAGACATTGCCAAATGTTTTTTGAGGGTCAGGTTGTAGAAAGTGGCAGAGCTAGAGAACCCAGTCCTGCTCTGCAATACAGTAGCTCAGGCCTCTCCATCATACTGCCTAGAAGATGTGCCCTGTGCTACCACACAGGGTCCCCCAGCTGACAATATGGCCCCAGGTAATAGTTACCCTCTCTCTCTCTTTTTATGCTATAGGGCACGCGCACTCGCCAGGAAGACAGAAAGAGACAGAAAGCAAGAAATCACCCCCCAGGGGGTATGGCCACACCACAATCCCTTCTCCATTCTCCTCTTGGGATCTTGGGCACACACACACATATACACCCGGTGTGAGTTTAAGCCTCCAGATCTGGGATTTGAACCACAGTTGACTACATGGGAGTTCAGTGACATAGCCATCATGTTAACTGCTGGTCCCTAGTTAGTTACCCTTTCTTTCCATGAATGACATGCTCCCTTCTAGACCATCTAAAAATTTGTTTGGGGGCCAGCAGGTGGTGTGGTGGTTAAGGTGCTGGATTCCCCATGGTTTACTGCAGTTCGAGTCCCAGACCCCATGGCTTGAAACTCACACTGGGCGCGAAACTCACACTGGGTGCATGTGCACGTGTGCCTAAAATCATAGACGGAGAATGGAGGAGAGGGATTGCGGCATGGCCATCTGCCCGGGAGATGATTTCTCACTTTACCTCTCACTGTCTCTCTCTGGTGAGCGCATGTGCCTTATGGCAAAAACCTTAAAAAAAAAAAAAAAAAAAAAAAAAAAAAAGGCAAAAGAAAACCAAAAATATAAAACATCTTTTCTGTTTGGTCTCCTATAATTCTTCTAAGGAGTTTTTATACAAACTGTACGATGGAAAAATAGAAAGAAATGTACATACCGCTTTATAAAATTCGCAAAAAGTATCCGATGTGAGTACCCTAGCCTTCGAATTCTTGCTGTCTCCAGAATTCCTGTGTAGCGAAGCTGTAGTAGAACTTTGTCTTTGTCATATTTTCTTGCCTGACGTTCATTATTTGGTTTGATGCAACGGACAAAATGAGGTTGGCCCACCACCATTTTGGATAACAAATCCATCAAAGAATACTATGATACACAACAAAATAAATTTCCTCAGAACGGCATACAAAACCTGACAAGCTTGTTGGTCTTTTTATTAAAAGAATAAAATTTGAAAATTGAATAATATAAATGTTCACACTAACCACAGTAAATGGAGGGAAATCTATATTAACAAACATTTTATTTCTACTATATATAAAAAATAGAGACATAAATATGTATATACATACATATATATGTACATAGAGAGAGAGAGAGACTTACATATTTAAATGTATAAAAAAAATAGAAGTAATAACTAGAAGCTTAACTATTAAAAGTTTGACTGCAAACTTTTTTTTTCTTTTTTAATTTTCCATAGGGCACATGGGCTCATTGGAGAGTGACACAGAGAGAGAAGAGAGACAGAGAGAGAGAATCACCCTCCAAAGTGGATGGCCATGTCGCAATCCCTTCTCCTCACTCAGTTCTTCAGGAAAGTATTTTTTAACCCCATAGATATGAAAACTGTGTTCTGGACCAATACCTTATTAAAACAGAGCCAATTTCTGTACAACAAAGTAACGTACTGAGATAATCATAGTTCAACTGAAAGTGGAATCTCAGAAAGCTAGTATTCAAGAAATAAGATTGCAATGTACTGGCAAGGTAGGGTAAGAATACAGGCAGGTACTGACGGCTGGATCTCTTCGAGTGTTAGAAATGTAGTCTGCAGCCACAAAGCAGTGCAAACCCAATACTAAAACTGGGCACTGACACCACGTGCTGGATTTGTACAGCTCCCTCTTCTGCACAGACTCGGATGTAATCTTTCCCAACAGCTAGGTCCGCCATGGTGAAGCCCTTTTTGTTACATTGACCTGTGAGGCATCATTTCCTTAGTCATGTGAGCACCTGCCGGGCACTGGTGGTAGGAGGTGATACGTATCTGCTGGCTGATCTGAGCGGGAGCTTACTGCAATTTGGGCCCTGATTTTCCTTAGGGACTAAGGCACGGTGTCACACTATGTTCTAACTGCAGAACGAAAAATAACTTTGAAACACATTATGTACTGTGTGAAATTATCTTCCAGTTTTTCATGTCTGCCGGAAGATTAAAATGATTTCACAAACTAATCTGGTTTAAATATACATTCAGTGCTTAATGCCAACGACAGAGGTTTGATGATGGTCTTGAATAACTTGCTTACAAAAATAAAATAATCTGTCTGTAAATATTTTTAGTTATTCAGCTGGGCTGCATTCCTGATGTAAAGTGAATGTACCAGCCTCAAGCATAATACATAAAGTACATAAATGTCCTAGGAACTGCTCAGAGGGGTTGAAGCACATACAATCTATGGCTATGAGTTCAAGATCTGGGAAATTTTTTAAAAAGCATTCAGATATTTCAAAAAGTTATTTCATGATTCTATTAAAAAACAGAATATACTCCTTGATTGCTTATAGTAAATTTAATCCAATTTCCTCTACCTCCTCCACATGAAATTACTATTAATAACTTACAAATTGTAGGTGGTATTTTCTTCATTCCATTGGCTGGTTAATATGAATTAATTTCAACAATTTAGAAGGAGTGGTTATCAGAAGAGAGAAACGAGAACTGAAACCAATAAGAGGGGCACAGTGATCTAGAATTCTCCAGAGCACAGAGAAAATAAAATACTTCATTTCTTCCCTTTGGCCCAGATTGTCCAAGGGAGGAAGGTTGGTTGCCTGGTCTATGCTAAGCACACTTCCTTGGCATGTTATTGAGTCTCCCTGGTGACCCTTCTCCTTGCCCTGTTCTACACTGAATTCTATTTTCCTTTTGAGGTTTTTGCCCTGTGTATATACAAGAGAAATGAAACAGAGATTGGTGCTGAACCTTGACCTATCTGTCTGACTTAAAATCAGGTGTGTGTGTATGTGTGTGTGTGTGTGTGTGTGTGTGTGTGTGTGTGTGTGTGGAGGAACTGCTAAGCTATCATAGCACCAAATTAAAAGATTTTTGGGGCTTATTTTAGTGGAAATGTGGTTCTATGGAAAAAAAAATTTTTTTTAAGAGAGGTTTTTGCTATAGGGCGTGTGCACTCACCAGAAAGACAGAGAGAGACAGAGACAGAAAGCAAGAAATCACCCCCCCCCAGGGGGGATGGCCATTCCACAATCCCTTCTCCTCCATTCTCCTCTCGGGATCTTGGGCACACACGCACACGCGCCTGGTGTGAGTTTAAGTCACCAGGTCCAGGACTCGAACCGCGGTCGGCTACATGGGAGTTCAGCAACATAGCGATTACACGAACTGCTGGTCCCTATGGACAAATTTTAATCAAAGTATAGCCCTCCGTTAAGATTGACCTGGAGGGCTGACTCCACGTTGCGATTTTAATCTGCTGCTCAAGAGAAGTCAGATCTCTCATATGGAGACCATAGCTCAGATTTCTGTCCCAGGCCAGCAGAAACAAGCCAGGTTTGCACATCAGTGCCCACGATCTGACAGGCTGGAGGGATGGAGGAAGGAAATGGAATGTGACCAGAGCCTGTGAAGAGTGCTCACCTCTCTCCCTCCCTTCTCTCAGGGGTATACGCACTCTATCATGGATGGTGGCGGGGTGGGGTGGGGTGGGGGATGGGGACTGACCTGAGATACTATGTTTCTATAGGTAAACTATCAAAATAAACAATGCACAGATTTTTTGGCAGAACACACTGATACATCTCTGAAATAGTACATGGAATACAGTGAACATTCTCTTTTGCTAACGGCACTGTGACATTGGCTACTAGTATTCAATCTATAACTCATTTAGAATAAATCACATCCCAGAGCATGACATATCAAAATTGAATATCTTACTCTAAAATATGATGCAACCGTTTGTGTTTTCATGTTGGTTGTCTCTCTGGCGTGGCGTGTGGCTTCTCCAATTTCACCCTAACAGGATCAAAGAAGCAACGACACTTCAGAGTTCTGTTTCTGTTTTGCTTTATGAGCCATGGGGAGCAAACAGCATTTTCCTTTAGATGATCTTAGTCTATGCAATTAAATACATAATAAAGCAAGACGCCATTGAGGTAATACAGCAAGACCATTGTTGATATTGTTACCTCAAGGTAATTGTTTCATCATTTTGGGGAATTTTAATAGTTCTTGTATAGAATGTGATTTTCTCTGACCCTAGCTAATCCATTTTTAGTTGATCTTAGTGTGACATTTAAAACCAGCTACAAAAGAAGAGTTAGGAATATATCAGAAATGCATAATTATTTTAGTCACCAGCAGTAACGTGAACATAACAAACACCTGCTTTAAAAGAAAATATTATCAGAGGGAGAAAAACTAAGGAAAAGCTATTTGCTTTTAGGAGCACACAAATATTGCATTGTAAAGGTTAGATTCAGACTTGTTACCGTAAAAAAATGGCATTTTCTCACCTTTGTGAGGTTGACTGATTTTTCTGAAGTCCTCATTTGATAATCTATTATATTTCTAGTTTTAGAATGTGGCAGATTACCTGTGGGAATGCAGATAAAATTAATATATCTTTTAGAATCCCTAATGGATAGAAGATTTTTCTATTTACTTAAATGTTAAAATAAGCATTGTTGATTCTGTAGTTTTCATATTCACATGCTTGGTTAACTATTTATGGTGAAACTGAGGCTAAGGTAATATTGCGTGGGGCCAGCCCAAGAGCCTACTGGTTAAGGGAAGCTGGATCCCCCATGGCCAACTGGTGCTCTTGTGCCAGCTCTGGCACCTTGTAAAACATGGTGTGTGTGTGTGTGTGTGTGTGTGTGTGTGCTGCTTCTGCTTGACAAGTGGGGAATATGGAAGAGAAAGGACTGTGGAGTCTCTCTATTTGGTGAGCCTACACACTCTCTGGCAGTTAAAGAAAATGTGAAAATATACAACAAAATTTTAAACTGAGAAATTAAAAAAATTGAGGGACCAGCAGATGGCATAATGGTTACATTGCTGGACTCTCACATAGTGGATCCTGGATAGAGTCCTGGACCCAGAGCCTAAAACTCATGCCAGGCACATGTGCATCTGTGCCCAAGATCCTGAGAGGAGAACAGGAGGGGAAGAGATTGCAGTGTGGCCATCCTCCCTGGGGGTGATTTCTCACTTTCAGTCTTTCTAGTGAGCATGTACACACTATAGCAAAATCTCTTACTTAAAAAAAATAAATAAATAGGGACCAGCAGATGGGATAATGATTATGTCGCTGGATTCCCACATAGTTGACTGAAGTTTGAGTTCCAGACTTGGTGGCTTAAACTGACACTGGGCAGATGTGTGTACATGCCCAAGATCCCGAGAGGAGAATGGAGAAGAAGGGATTGTGGTGTGGCCATCCCCCCAGAGAGTGATTTCTTGCTTTATGTATCTCTCTGTCTTTCCGGTGAGCACATGTGCCCTGTAGCAAAAATCTCTCTCTCTCTCTCAAAAGAAAAAAAAAAGGCAGAGGAAGATGGTAGATTTTTTTTCAACTGCAAGAAGATATGAGATGACAATGATGAAGGGAGCAACTTGCTTCTTTTTTTTGTGTGTGAATTTGAATCATTCATTTACCTGAGCTGGTTACAGGCAAATCAAGTCTGGCTGAAGGCAATGGCCACCTTCAGTCTAACATTCAGAAACGTGTGCTGTTGCAGATATACACAATCCAAGGCCGTGGAAAACATGATGGAATGTAAACGTTATGGTCTTGGAAGCCAAAAAGACTTGGGTTTAACTCCCAGTTGGACCTAAACTGTGCTACCCTTGGAATATTTACTTAGTCTCTGATTTATAGCTTGAATCCATTGGGTCATTGGAAAAATCATGATGTATTTTTTCTGCAAAAATGTGCATGATTTTTCTGACAACCCAGTATAATGATGCCACCCTACAGAATTCTGATGAAATATGAAAATAGGTCTGGTACATAGTGACCCCTGGAAATGTCACTAATTTTCACTATTTTCTCATTCCCACCCCTACCAAGGACACAAACCAAGTCAACCCACAATCCTATAGTGTATCATTAATAATAATGTTCAAAATGTCTCTAAAACTCAGCGTCGCTTCTGACAGATAATTTCTCTTCTCTCTCCTTCTCGTGGACCATGCTTGAATCTAAATGTTTTCAGCAAGTTCTCCTCGTTCTCTGTGGTTATGAAGGCTGGCTCTGGTGCAGTGGCCTGCTCAGCTTTCTTTCTCTTTCCGTGTACTGCAGGAAGCTGAAAACGTCTGAGATGGGCATGTGCGATAGCCTCCCTGCTGGGCTGGCACTACATGCTGCACTGTTGACTTTTAATTGCCAACAAACATGTGCCCTCTAGCAATAAGTAAATAAGTACATAAATGCCATTTACTGCATTTCAGTTATATCTCAATAAAGGTATTTAAAAAAGAAATCAAGGGATAATTTTAAACTCCAATAAAATAAAATGACTCAGACTGTATTGTTTCCACTTTAAATGCAAGGATGTGTGGTTGGATGAAGTAAAGGCATGTGGATTTTAAAAAAATACATTGGCTTCTGTTTTTTCTCTTTTTGTGTTTTGTTTATAAGCCAGAAGGCAGGTGTGCTCACTAGAGAGAGACAGAAAGAGAGAGAAAGCACACCTCAGTGCGGCATGGTCACATTGCAATTCCTTCTCCATTTCTCCATCCTGTCAGGATTTTCGTTAAGCACTCACATGTGCGGGACATGTTTTCCAGGTCACCAGGACCTTGACTCAAACCACGCAGTCAACAACGTGGAATCAGACTCCTTAACTACAAGGCCATGGGATTGAGTCCCCTTTTTAAATTTAAATTTTGAAATTATCAATCAATTTTAAATTATGGAATTAAAAAGAATTTGCCAGAGGATGAGTATGCTCTCCAGAGATAGACAGAGACAGATGTGTGTGTGAGAGAGAGAGAGAGAAAGAGAGAGAGCAAGAG